GCTTTTGTTTTCGTTCCATAGACGTTAATTATGCCATTATACAATAGGCGATGCAATATGAATTTATTGTACACTGTCAATGAAAGCATTAAAACGACTTGCGTGGGACTTACGTGGTTGCAAGTTGACTAATCGAAAAGTCTTGCAATGGCCCTCAAAAACACTGCTCACTGGAACTTTAAGGAGCGTTCATAATTCACTCTTTCATCATAAGCCAGAACGCATTAATGTGAAGAAGCTTCACTTACAATCCGCTCTAATAAACACTACCGTTCTCTGGCCACTTAACTCAGCCATTCCTAATAACTGTTCATTCCAATGACCACTGATTATTCAGCTTAACACTGCATGAATAATATTCAACACAACCTGAAAATAATGTTTACATGAACCACAAAGAACCTGACAACTCAAGAAACTAACAACACATGGCTGACTGAAACTTGAATCCTGCATGACTCGACCGGAAGCATCTTCGCTGATACACGGTCTCAAACTTCACGAACAGAAATAACCACGACCACAAAAATTACCAAATCGAATCGTAATCAAACGCTCGTATGATTACAGTAGCTTTACTAAGAATCGAATAAAACAAACCGAAAATTTCTAATTCATACAATGACCCAAAATTTTACAAATTCTAAAATTCAGAAACAAATATTTTGCACATTAAATCATACGAACTTTTATTCCTTAAGTTTTCCAAAAGTTAAACTTTTGAAAGTCTAAAGTTTTGAACTTCCGTAAATCAGTCATTATGCTGATTTCTTTTTAAAACTTACATTCCTTTTTCTTTCAGACTGTCAGTTATATGCAGTAGGAAAGCCAGTGTATCATAGGTACACAAACATGACTTACGGAAGCTGGATGCGAGATTCTGTGCCTCCCACCGAAGCAGATACTGACAAATTCTGGTTTACGGATGAGAATGATCCATACCACTTGCATGAATACCACAACAAGACCCTGTTTCGAGCTGGCGCTCCAAGTTTTAAATACAGACTGGAATATCCTTTTAAGGTGACATCAGATAGTGTTAGTGGGAAACATAACATATGCTGTAAATGTATGTAACTTATGTCACTCTGGGTTATGCCAAGATTTGCTATTATGAGTGGAGCCACTACAGGATTTTAAACATTTTTTTCAATCTAGTCATATTTACTTACGAAAACAATGCAGTAACATTACTATACAAACCATGCTGGTCACTTATTTTATGTCATAATTTTCTCTTTAGGGCAATACACATGTCATACACAACGGAGTGTTCTACTACAACGAAAGGAACAAGCCACATGTACGGAGGTTCGAACTGGCAACTAACGACACTCGGATGCTAAATGTACCGATGGTAGCAACCAAAGGCAGTAACTATCTCTATTCTACAAATTACAACTACATGGACTTCTCTGTAGATGAAAATGGTTTATGGGTAATATATGGGATACCCAGCACAAATTATACTGCAGTCATGAAGGTGAACACTGACCGCAATATGGAGGTGCAGTATATGTGGAATATTAGCATCAATAACCATCTGTTTGGTGAAATGTTTGTGGCTTGTGGTGTACTCTACGCTGTTGATTCCGTCACTGAAAGGAACTCAAAGATAAGGTAATTTAATTTGTGTAAGATGCCTTTAACTTTTAATCACGTGGGAAAATGTTACTTAAACCCCCGAGTCAGCCGGACTTCAAACCCGTGGTTAACGGCATAGCTGATGTAACACGTGTAAAGCCGGATGGTGTATGAGACATGACACAGGGGTAATAAATTTATATACCTATGGATTATTGGAAAGATTAAAGCAAAATTACCATATAATAACTAACAGCGATCTGAAATTTCAGAGCATTGTAAAACATACGAGGCGCGTCCCAAAAGTAAGTTTCCCACTCGTCCCACAGCTAGCAAACCTTATATTGCGCGAAGCGACTGTGCGTACGTGATAGAGCAATGACGTAGCATGGCGCATGCACTAACGGCACTTCCCGCGTTCTCACAGTAGCATCGTTGCAGCTGTTGAAGATGGAGATTCTTATTCCAGCTCCCGCCGGCTGTGAAGTGCGGTTAGTGATAACGCTAGGCCGCACACGGCTCGACGGACAGCAAGTCTCCTGCAGGAGTTCAGCTGGGAGGTGTTTAATCATCCACCCTACAGCCCGGACCTCGCTCCCAGTGATTTCACACCTGATCAACGTACAAAATATTTGTATATGATTCATTCAAGAAACGTCTATCTTAAATATTTCTTGAGATCCTGTTATAGAAATGTCAAAGCAATGATTTCATTAACAAATACAAGGCTATCAGTATTAATATTATAGATTATGTAAAGATGTGGCAAATATTATTGACTGTTATTAATGCATAGGTTTGCCCTGGATCTGTACAAGAATCAACTACTCGATGTAAATCTTCCATTCACAAATCCCTTCCGGTGGACTACGATGGTTGGTTACAACCATAAAAACAAGGTGAATAATTAAGTTTTTGTGTCGTCATTAAATTAGATTTAGCACTGATATTTAAAATCCTCGCAATGGAATAATTTGTACGATTTACTACTGAATATATGATATTTTAATCTGTTACATTTAAAAAAATTTACTATTTTCAAGGAGCTGTACACATGGGACAGAGGAAATCAGCTTACATACCCCATTCGGTATCACGAGATTGGTTATAATACCAGCAAAGAAGATAAAGGTGAGCCAGAGACCAGCCCTCTCGTTCAAACAGGGTACGATGTGTACTCATAGAAACGACGGAAAGTTGAATACGTGTCACATATCTATTGGGCCTAATTCATCGACAATGACATCCTCTGGGAAGCATTTAAGTTCTGTCTTCTTGTGTATGTTTAATATGTACCAATATACTGTGTACCATCCATGAATAAAGCTGAGCGATACGACACTATGAGACAAGGAACAGTGACGTAAAACTGAAATCAGTGCGTCTGTTAACAAATCAGATTCATCTAGCAACATAATTCAGTTTTGTGACACCAGAGTGCACCACATACGGGCGTAAGATTATATACATGAATAGAAAAGAATAACTGTTATATGAATAGAATTATTTCACTTTTTTACTTGAATATTTCACTGGACATAAGGACCATTTTCTCACGAAATATTACTTCGGTACAACACGACAGAATTTCTTCATGGACATAACAGCACGTCAAAGATATCATACGTAATGATCTTGTACATGTTCCTTGTACCATGAAGAAATTAAGTACATTAATTACGAGACTTTTATTGGTCGCCCAGAATTCTGGTATCTAGGAATGAGAACTGTTCCATTTAAACATTCTGGCCAATTTTAGTACTCAACCATTTTTATGCCATTAACTTTCATAAAGATACTTAAAATTCTTGATTAATTATAAGTTATTTTTGCTCTGTCTTATTAAGGAGAAAGTAACTTATCATTCTTTGAACTCCCTTTTTAATTTTTTGTTCCTGGCATATTCTTTCTTAGGGCATACTTGTAAAGGCATATATTTTCTCCTTAGCGCAGCAAATACTACTGAAATAAATCCTGTAATTCGAACTGAAAATGCAAACTACTTCCGAGAAGAGTGCATGATGCCTATTTTCTTTAACAGTAAATAAAAGATCAATAAATAACCATGATTGTTAGGTTATGTGGGTAATTTATATAACTACGTAAAGTCTACTAATCTTAAGCAAAATGACTTTAAAATAAAGATATATGTGTTTTTATCGATCTGTATGTTTAAACTTAAAAAGAGCTGGGCTGATTTTGATGAGATTTTGTTATGTACATTGTGCCATTTGAGGTTACTTTTTAGTTTCCTGCAGTTGGTAAACCGATGTCAGACATATGAAGCTTTGAGGTTGGATTGACACTACCGTTACCCAATAATATGTCCTGAAATGGTCAATGGTTATAATTATTTGAAAAATATACGACTTTGTGTGAAATGATTTTTTATAAAATGTAAAAAAATGGCAGCGTTATGAAATATATATCTAAATGCAATGAACATTTCTACATATTAAAACACAGTCAAGGTTATGTTTGATATTACGCTGTCCTATCAATGATAAATTTATGATAAATAAATTAAAAAAATATAGGAAAAAGAAAAGTGTTAGCTAAGTTTAGTGACAGATGGAAAATACATAAACTGAATTGTAATTTGTTCTGATCTCTTTTGTGAACGATAACAACAAAGAGTTCAAGGCTAAATCTTATCTTACATGGAAAATATGCTTAAGTTTGTGCATCTTCCTGTCGATCTATTCCTACACATACATAGACATTATTTATGGTAACATTATAATTTACTATAATTTTATATTTCAGTTAGCAACATTTAGAATAAAATGTGTAAAAACACATGTGGAAACTCTGTATATTTTGATACAGATTATACCTTTTGAATCTTATCAAATATGTGTCTACAGATTTACATCCTTCAACTGAAAGGGAATCACTAAAAAACAGAAATAAATAAGTCAATTGACGAATCTCAGTCATTAAATTTTTCCGCATGTCCAGTTTACTGTGACACTTTATCCTATTCAAAATTGTGTCCTCTTTTCCTCCTTTTCCCTAGTTATTTTGATCTCATGTAGATAGTCACAGATAAATGTACGAGTTCATAACTTTGAGACATATACTCAAGTTATTTTTACAGAAAATGTGTAAATCATCCTCTCCAAAATATTCCGAGTCTTGATTAAATGTAATCACAGTTCTCATTTACATTTTCTCTCTGGATTAGACTCATGCAAAGTGCTGAACGTAGTTCGATTCTCCATTAAGTACCGAGACTTTTGAACTACGCGTCTCTTCTGCTCTATATCCCTTCTTAGTATTCCACGTCACTTCTGTATAATCATTTGAAATGTAACACACAATTTAAAAGTAACATTACTACCATTTTCCATTATAAAATTTTCCTACAGGCAGAATTACGTGAACTCTTCAATGCACGACCCAAGTTTTTTAGTCCGAATACTTCCTAGGTCAGAACTCCCCTTTTTTAGTTTCTGTTTGCCCGCGAGGTCAGGCGGACCCCTGAAGCATTCGAGACGGTCTCATAGGTTTTCTTCGAGATTTATGTCAAAAGTATGGAGGTCGTAAACAGAAAGCACCTGACTTATTTGCTATAAAGTTGAGAGACACTCAAGCAAAATGAAAAATTTAAGCTGTAGCACTTTAACGTTTATAAATATACTAGCGCGTTGCATCTTGGCGTGACATTTAGCAGTGGGGTGGATAGAAAAACTCTGTGTGCAGTTCTTGAAACTCCATTTTGAAGTGTCACTAAGCCATTACGCTGTAGCAAAATATCATTACACTGAACCTTCAAAAGAATATTTAGTACAAAATAATGTATAAAGTAAACAACACTAAAATGGACCTTGTTACGATGACTGAAATATTTTTTCGCACAACGGCATTTCATGTTTTTCCGAGTTAATTTCAGTTTTTGTATACAAAGTGTGCTTAATATGTCTGAGAACTATCACAGAAGAATACTTTAATTGATTAGGCGGGTAACTGTGACGAATAATATTAATATATACTGTGTTGAATAATATCTATTATCTACACACACCTCCAATTTTACAGATTACGACATCAAAATTTACTACAATATTATGGTGCAGTATTAGAAATGAAGAAACTATTTTGCTTTCAATCAGTTTCCATTGAAGACGGACACACGAATCTCTCCAGAACTTTCGGAAAATATCCCCCCCAAAAAACACGGTGACATTGCCAAAGAAAAGGAACACGCAAGTGTTAAAAAAACTACGCGTGAATGTTGAACACTTTCACAAATATTTCCATCGAATCTTTTAAAAAAAATTTGTACTACAATGCCTCTGGAATTTGAAAAAAAAAAAAATTCAGAACGCGATACAGAAAATTAATTTCAAATTTATTCTCGTGTGAATGAGGGTCTTAACACTCCATATTGTTTATTTGCAGAAACTTCTATTAATTAATGTCGAAATCGTGTTTCTGCCTCAGTCTGTCCGCTCTCATATGATAACAGGAAGTTGTAGCATATTTGGTCCAAAGAAAGGACAAAGCGACAGGACACAATAAGGATAGTACAATACGTATGAGTCAAATGCTACTCGAGTTGTTAAACCAAAGGGAATTTAATGCCAGTTACGTGTGGAACGCAGTGAGACTTGTTTTAGTCAGAAAACTTCTATGTAATAAAATTAATGGACGATCCGTGTGTAGGGGGAGGAAGATAATATTAAAACGGAATTTTAAGAAATAATGCATGAGTGCGTGTACTGGTTTCAACTAACCAAAAGAGAAGACCCAATGGGGGGAATTTTGTGATAACGTGTAACATAAAACAGAGAATTTCTTTGAATATCTGCGTAACAACGAGGTGTTTTGAGGAAAACTGTACTATAGAGTTCGCTGTTTTTCCTGCTTTCTGTTCTGTAATTACTGTCAACAGCTACAACATCCAAGTTCTTGGTCAACAGAGCGTAAGAAGGAAACTGTTAATGAGCAAAGAAGAGCCGGTTTGTATATTAAGCATAACAGTGGAGCGCAAACTGAGCATAGGACGATTAAATGCTTTAGTGAACAAATGCAAAGAACACAGATTAAGATACAGCCATTCAAAAGGTCTTTAATAAGAAAACTCGGTGAGCTGACGAAATATAATGAATTAAGTCGAGAGCAGTTGCTAATATTGAAACGACTTAACCAGAGTCGCTATGAAGACGCTCTCACACGGAGATTATAACGAACTTTTAATTAAGAGCGCAAGAAAAATATTTTAACCGGACTCCATTTTAACTCGGCAAGAATAAAAGATAAAATCTACAATTATGCCTGAGGCCTACCAGTAAGCCAATTATTGGCCTGTGTCCGTGCAATGTGCAGACAGTGGTATTTTGGCTTCAGATGGCGTGGTAGTATTCGAGGTGGTTCTCATAATTTCGGAGGAAGGTGTCGCTTCCATCCTCGTATACACCGAAAGTGGAGGCGACAAGTTTTTCCCAGTGTCGTTCCCACTTCAGATGATTGCACGACAGCGATGTTATATTTAATTATTTACATATACTATATATATGTTTATAGTTAGTTAACGACATTTTCAGTAGCTACACAGGAACTGAGTAAAACCATTAAAAGGACAACTATGTCGATGATATTGATGACAGGAAAGTAAATGTGAAGAAAGAAATAATAGTGTGACTTCTGGTAACACGAAGTTCATACCACATTTTATGAAAATCTATTCGTTGGTTTAAACGTTATTATGAAGACCCACAGACAAGAATAAACAAACATTACAGACGAACATAATTAAACATGTCCATGCGACAGTAGCCAGGAGGCCAACAGCTACATATTCACTTCGGCCATGAACATAGAGGCAGTATGTTCCTCCAAAATATTGATATACGTACAAGTACATACGGCCTCACAACCCAGGAGACAAATATCGACAACACGAGTATATTTCCTTATTGAATGATGCCATTTTGTATTGAGACAAAGCAAAGAATGATGCTCACAAATTATAAAAGGGGAAAATAAAAGTTCTTCTGTAATTTCAGTAACAACTTGTATTCGATCGAAACATTGTTCGGCCTTTACAAATTCCTGTTTTTGGCTGCAGTAAAAACAACATGATCTAATGTAATCTTCTCCAGCCTTATTTTTTCGTATTGCTGCTGCAGATAATCATACATTATGAAAGAACTTAAACGAACTGGATACTTTGAACCAAAAATTATATTCTGTTAACTCTGCAAAATACGTCTATTGTTCGAATGCGGAACAAACTGTATGTCTAATTCTCGCCTGTTTCAAACACAGTTTTCATTTGATCTGCGAAGTAGATATAACACGAAATACAAAGAAACTAATTACAGATAATATCGGAGCACAAAGAAAGGTACAGAGAGACTGCAGGGGAAAATTCGTGCAATAAAATGGCTATGCAATTACAACACACATGCTCGATAAACACATTAAATGATACACACAATTCATAACACAACGGAACAACACTTTTCATTACTCTAAGAATATGAGATGTGGTTATAAGACAGGAGGATGGGGTTGTTATGTAACTATGTAAAAGGGGGGGAGAGAGAGAAATGGGATATCGCTTAAACGTAGGTAGAGTGGGTTACCACTTGTCCAAAGGCCCTCTCCACTCGCTATGTTCTTTGACAAAAGAACGCATAATTAGTCCACTCGGACGCACAAAGAGAGGATAATCCCAGTGGTTAATTACCAGCTAAAAGTCCTCTCTAGGGCCAGAGATAACTACTAGTAATTACAGTGTGATGCCCGAAGTACAGAATATTATCCGTTTCTTAGAACCTAAGGGACATCTCCCTAGAGACGTTTACGTAACTAAAGGTGGCTATCGGGCAGTGTAGTGAACGCACAAAGCTTTCCGTTTGTCGAATGAAGTCTGGAAACGTCAGAGGAGATCAAAGACCGATTTCAGAGCCTCCACTGCTACTGTTTATCACTGGCAGAGACACGTCAGTAAGACGAACAGGAAACCATAAATGATGACCGAGTCAATGGCGAGATTTCATATTCTCTCCACCACATCGTAAGACTGAAATTAAAATGCACTTAATTAAATTGTCTCGTGGGGCAAAGGGGGTTGTTATTTGTACTTGTGAGTTTCCTTCACTAGTAATAATGTTGTACGAGGATCTTAACATTTAGTTTCTCCCAAAGAACAAAAGAAAGGGCCCACAAATATATCATTTTAAAGGTTTACGTACATCTTAACTTTCATGAGAAATTTTCTGGACACAAGGAAACGTTTAGAACGTCGTTAAGTAACAAAATGATCAGTCAGTGATCAAACACGAGGAGCGAATAGGTCTTTAGTCATTGGTTCTCTAATCCCGTAAGGTTTGTCTGACCAAGTTATCAGTAATGGCGCTAGATGGCAGAATGTTACGGTTTAGTTAGAAAGAATTTTCTTCTAGACCTCTTTCGTCTTTTTCAGTACAAACAAATCGTTTGATAGTGGCGCCACGATTACTTCCTGTTTTATCGAAATTCAAAAATTCAAAATTCAAAATTCTCTTTCAGGAAATACACTTTTGCCCGGTTGTTTGATTAAAATGTTTTCATAAAATACTCTGAACTATAAAGAGTGTTGTGGCTATGTTTGTCAGAAATTAATAAACTCTCATTTTTCAGGTTAAAATGCTTTATGTATAAAAAGTAGGAAACATTCATTAATAATTTATTAGCATCGCAAAAAAAGAACTTCGCTTTGACGCCTTTAATCAAAGAGGAGTTACTTTCAGTAGTGGTTGCTGTAGACTGAGGCAGCAGGACTGAGTGGCTGACGAAATTAAGTTTTCTGAAAGTAGAATTCTTTAAAACAGTCTCTTTGAAGTTCATTTGCTTTTCGACTCGGCACGCATAACAGCATTATGTGTCCCAAGTTCTGTTTCAATTACAATATTTTCACTAGGCGAGACTGAGCAAGGTA